GCATCTTCCGTGAAAGAGACAGGCCCAGGCCTGTGTTCTCACAATACTGGGGCAGGAGCAGCAAGGGAAAGGTCATGGCCTGTGAGCCCTCTGAGTGTGGATGCCAGAGACAGGTGGCAGAAGAGCAGGTGGTGATGGCCGGGGGTCTGGACCTATTTCTGGAACCATAGGTCTTAATTAACAGAAAGCACAGGTCTGATGCGCTACCTGGAGAGAGCCCCAGCAGACCCATGATCTCTGGGGACAAGCTATGCAGTGCCTATGGAAACAGCTGGTGTGGCAGGCCACACGGTACTGGGAGAGGAGTCTAATGTTGCTGCCTGGTGTTAGCTAACGTTAGATCGGATGCTGTGACTGAATGCTATTTTTCTTTTTGTATTAGAGAGGCTTAAAATCCTGAAACAGGTTGGTAGGTTGTCTGCCACCTGTTAGTATAAATAAAGTTTTATTGGTACACAATCATGGCCATTTTTTTCAGTTTACATTCTTTTGTGTAATGGACAAGCTGCTTTTGTGCTCCCACAGCAGAGCCACATGGGGCCACAGAGCCTGAAATAATAACTCACTTGCTCCTTAAAGGAGAAACTGCTCTCATGGCCAGGATGTCCTAAGTGGATGTCCTAGAGGGGCGGGTGAGGCAGGGAGCCGTGTTGGTAATATCACCAGCCCCTATACATATGCAGAGGTTGAAGGACTATACATGTTTGGAAAAGGTACCAATAATACTTGGAATGATTTCACATAAGCAAAAAAGAGTAATTAATTATCACAGTGGCTATTTTACATGTCTGAATAAATTCCCTAATACCACAGAACCTAGAATCAAAATGTACAATTGTTGCAAATGAGGTAACGATGAAATACATCTCAGGGTGGATGTGGTTTACTTGCTGACTTCCTTTCTTCTTGGCAGAGACAGAGGCAATAAGTCAGATGAGAATTTGGTTACAAATAAAAATAAGATTACTGAAAGCAGCATTGATGTCAAGTGAATTTCCAGAATTCCACACTGGAGATGGCAATTATTTCTGTGAATACCCGGTTAATGAAATATACCCTAACACACCTTGTGACAGCGTCATCAGATGTCTACAGAGGCTTTCACAATGCATTTGGAGATGAAAACTAAGAAGAGCTTATGAAGACATCTAAATATAAAACAATAAAACTGTTGTCAATTCTTTCTTATTAGAAATGTATTCATATGGATTGTCTCTTCAATTTCTCCACTTCTATTTAGCTAAATAATTTGGATACTCTTTTATTCTGAATATTTTATAAATATACTACTTAAGGTTTGAAAGCATTCCCATGAAAGGTACTTGTTATTATAGTTACAATATTCAACTTTTGATTATAATATTTTAGAATATAAACCTTTCCATTTTGGTTGTTGTTATTGTATAGGTGTTTGGTTTTTTTGCTTGTTTTGTTTTGGTTTTGGTGGTGCTAGAGATGGCAACCAGGTCTCTGTGCAAGCTAGGCAAGCAATGTACTGGAGAGCTATATTTCCAAACCTTAAGGATTTTCATACTACATTCTAGTTAATGTAGTATTAAATGAATGTTCCACATTCATTGTGGTTCTTGAGATAAAGGGGAGACCTAATTTATATATATATATATTAGTGCAGGTACTAGAGATTGAACTCAAGGCCTCTTACACTCAGCTTTTTGTTGTTGTTGGTCATGGGGCTTGAACTCTGGGCCTGGGCGCTGTCCTCAGCTCTTCAGCTCAAGGTGAGCACTCTACCACTTGAGCCACAACACCACTTTTGGTTTTCTGGTATTTAATTGGAGATAAGAACCTCACGAACTTTCCTGCCCTGGCTGGCTTTGAACTGCAATCCTCAGATCTCAGGAGGCTGAGATCTGAGCTACCAGTGCCAGGCTACCTCAGCTTTTTACTCATAGCTGTCACTCTACCTCTTGAGCCATGCCTGAGCATCAACCCAATTAATAAATGGGCTAATGAGCTAAAAAGAGTCTTCTCAGAATGTCCAATAAACATATAAAGTGACATCTCTGGTCATAAAGGAAATGAAAGTAAAAACAACCTTGGGATTCTACCTCAGCCCATTATGATAATGGCCATTATCAAGAAAATAAACAATAAATAACAGATGCTGGCAAGGATTTAGCCAAAAGGGAACCCTATTACACTGTGAGTGGTAATGTAAACTTATTTAACCACTCTGGAAAGCAGCGTAGAGGTTCCTCAATTCCAGCAATTCCATTTCTGGGCATTTCAAAGATGACAAACCAAGGACACAACCATGTCCTTTGCAGCACTATTCACCATAGCCAAGGTATGGAATCAGCCCAGCTGCCCCCTCAACAGATGAATAGATCAAGAAAATGTGGTGGATACACACAATGCAATTTTACTCATCCACTAGAAAGAATGATATTGTATCCTTTGTAAAGATATAGAAAGACCTGGAAAAAATTATGTTACCTGAACTAAATCTGGACCAAAATGACAAAAGTAGCATGCTTTCCTTTGTTTGGTGGTACGCAAGGGTATGCAAACAAATGTACTAACTGAAATATAGTAGATTCAAGGGAGAGCTCACAGTATTATTCCTTAGAAGAGCGAAGTCAACGTTCAACAAAGCAAACACCACCAGGAAACATGTACTTAAAAGAGGTGGAGTCAAGGAGTAGGCAAATGAAGAGGAGAAGGGGAGGGGTGCAGGTAGGAATCCAATGTACATCCTACAAAGTTAACAGTGGTGGGGGCTGGGCGGGGACAGGTGAGAATGCAGAAAAGGCTGACACTGATCAAGACCCACTGTATTCACAAACAGCTTCATTCAATGGCAACTTCTCTGTACAACTACTTAGGGGTAATAACAATAAATGAATGATCTTCTTTAAACAACAACAACGAGACAGCGAGGGAGGGCCTGGATGGGGCCCATGGATTATCCATCAGTGCTGAAGGAGGCGAGTGGGGTGCCAGGCTGGGCTGTCTGCTGTGGATAGGCAGGAGCAGCCCTCACCAGAGGCACCGCAAGCTGAGCAGAAGAAAAAGGAAAGGAAAAAAATTCCAGAGAGGAATTTATCATCCCAAGCTAAACCTGCCTGGAAGAGGTCCCTACTTAATGAAATTTGTGGAATAAAACTAGGTGCACTTGAGATTTCGCTTTAGCAACAAAGGTGAAGAATGGCCCACTTTGGAGGAGACTGCATGGTCCTGGATGCCCTGGCTTTCCTCTGGCTTTCCTCCTTTGTGTACAAGGTGTCTCTGCAGTCCCCAGGTGGAGTGTCTTGCTGGGCTCAGCAAACATACCTGGGGAGGGGGCGATGGTAATTCTGCCTAGGGCTCACAAACACAACTCAGAGGTTGCTTTGCCTTGAGCTCTTTCAAACACTCCAGCTCACACAAAACCCTGACCTCAACAAAACATGAAATGCTCTCAACTTTGACTTTTTTGCTTTTTTTGTTTGGTCACAGGAATGAAGTATTTTAGTTCTCATCAGATTTAATTATTTTGTCACTGCTTCCATGGGGCTTGAACTCTGGGCCTACGCGCTGTCCTTGTGCTCTTCAGCTCAAGGCTAGTGCTCTACTACTTGAGCCACAGTGCCACTTCTGGTTTTCTGGTGGTTTATTAGAGGTTAGAGTTTCACAGACTTTCCTACTGGGGCTGGTTTTGAACCATGATCCTCAGATTTCAGCCTCCTAAAGTAGCTAGGATTACAGGCGTGAGCCAACACTTAAAAAAAAAAATCATACTTAAAAAAAAAAAAAAGAAAAACCTAACAGATATTCTAGGAACTTATTTTTGTGCCAAATGAGAAATTACTAAAATGTCACACACCAGGACTTATATTTAGGTTACATCAAGCCTTGATGTACATGACTAATGTAACCTTTTATAGTTTGGATAAATTTAATTCTCCATGCTACAATTTCCCTTAGTATTTCAACTGTAAACTCAAAAAGGGAAAACTGGATGCGGTGGTTAATTTGTTCAAAAATACACATCCCTCCTCACATGCTTCTGAGTGTCTCTTTAAAGCTGAACAAAAGGGGAGAAGGCAAATGATTCCACAAAGAAGAGGTAGTGTCTGACCCCTGTGCTTGGCTGAGAAAATCAGCTAACATCAGATAAAGCTGATAGAGACTCGGTTCTGACACGTGTGCAGTAAAAGAGATTTCACTGTCTAAAAATATTTGATAGTAATTTATTTCTGTACAATGTTTAATTTACTGTGATTTCAAACAGAGGTTACTAGAGTTTACAGGCTGGTGTATATGTTCCTGAAAATGTGTGAAACTGAAATTTAGTACTTCCACATTAACCCGAAATACTTAAAAAAAAAATAAGGACATACCTACTTTCACCCATAGTTCATGACCACCCTCCCAGACAAAACACTCTTACCCTTTTCCTGTAATAATTCTCATTTTATAGCCTTCTCTACATTCAAATAGCAGGGCAACGCTACCAACCTTGTGTTGCTTCTAACTCAGAAGATCTCCCTTATAAGCAAATCTACACACAAAATCTTATGATATGCCTAAGAAATCGGAACAGAATTTGCAGAAAACAAATGCAGAAAACAGCATTAGACAGCAGAGATTGAGCCCCTGTCACCCAGCTTCCTAAAACAATTCCCAGGGTAACAACAACTCTATTTTACAATCCTGTCTTATTTATTGGCACCATTAAAACTTCTGGAGGGGCATATTTTAGTATAAGTGAGATTAAAAAAAAATGTGAGCAGACAGGGCTCCAAGCTTCTCCTGTGAATACAAATGCACTCCTTCAAGGACAGAAAGCTCCTGAAATTCCAGCGCTGGGAGGAGCCAGAGTTCCGGAAAACAGTAAAATCAAAGCACCCCAGGCATCACAGGGGTCCTGTCCGGTGTCTGTCCGATAGATTCTGCAGTCAGAACATGAACAAATCGAGCCCTCAATGTTTGCTGAGACCACAATGGGAGCAGATACCTGGAACTGTGTAACACCCTCCCTCCCCCAACACACTCACCTATGTGCGTCTGGGCCATGACATCTGCCAGCCTGTGCGCCGCCCCACTGCCCCCGCTCTGTGTGGAAGAGGAGGAGGTGGTGGAGGTGGTGGAGCCGTGGATGGCCTGGCTGATCCAGTGCTCCATGTTGATGCTGCCTTGGCTGGAGGTGGGGGTTCCCTGGGAATCGCCTTGCACAGAGCCTTCATCTTCAGAACCAGAAGAAGTGTCTGTGTAGAAGAAGGAGTTACTCATGAAAGCCCCATCTCAACCCCTTCATGCACTGCCCACCCAGACTCGCCTCCTGTCACAACTACTCATAATCATTGGACTGTGTCAAGCACTCTTGAAACAGTAGACCACTTTTCAGATAATGTTATCTTTTTCCTCCCTACTATGGTGACTTTTATGTACAATAATGCCTTAAATATGCTGTAAAAAGTTTTGCCATTGGGGCTGGGAAGGTGGCTCAGTGGTAGAGCGCTTGCCTTGTATGCATGAGGCCCTGGGTTCGATTCCTCAGCACCACATAAGCAAAAAGAAAAAAGCCGGAAGTGGCGCTGTGGCTCAAGTGGTAGAGCGCTAGCCTTGAGCTGAAGAGCTGAGGGACAGCGCCCGGGCCCAGAGTTCAGGCCCCACGACCGGGCCAAAAAAAAAACAAAAAAACTTTTGCCATTAAAATACTGGGCAGAGACATTCAACAATTTCCTGAATACAGTACAACAGGCAGGGCAGGGGGAGCCAATGTTTTCTTTGCATATATCTACTGAATGAGGACAGGGAGCACTTTCTAAGAGACAGGTGTATATCTTGTTTTCACATATCAAGGTGTGACTGCTTGTAGTCCTTGGTAGTCCTGAAATGCTTCTCTGAGTCGCAATGTATTTTTAGGCTTAGTGTGAACACCTTCCCCCCACTCCCCCAGCCTACTTAAAGACTGTGTTACTATAAGAATGATAAAGAGTGAATTCGATTAAAACATATTCTATGCGTGTAGGGGAATACCATGAACTTCTTTGCACAATTAACATCACTAATAAAAATTTCAAAAATAAAAAAATAGATTGAGTTTCTGATAAAGAAATTGTATCAAAAGAAGCGCATTAAACCCTTTATGTGCAACTTCAAAAAAAAAAAGAAGAAAAAGTGCACAGCCCCACTTCCTTGCATTCTTGGGGTCTTTGGCTTTTCATTTGGGGCATACCACAAGCTTCTAGAACACTACATTTTTGTTGAAACTAACTCTCTGATAATATTCATTTGTTATACAAGGTATTTTCACCTTCCATCTTTGAAAGTTGGACAATTTGGGCCAAGAAAAATCACACTTGGGCTTCCTTTTCATTCAAATTAGTGGAAATACTTTCACTGACTAGTTTTTTAGTTATCAAGTTTTTTTTGTTGTTTCGTTTTTTTGGGTCCAGTCGTGGGGCCTGAACTCTGGGCCTGGGCACTGTCTCTCAGCTCTTCAGCACAAGGCTAGCGCTCTACCACTTGAGCCACAGTGCCACTTCCAGCTTTTTTCTTATGTGGTGCTGAGGAATTGAACCCAGGGCCTCAGGCATGCAAGGCAAGCGCTCTACCACTGAGCTACCTTCCCAGCCCTTAGTTAGCAAGTGTTAAGAATGAGTTTTTAACGGGTCTGTTTATTTGAACTTCAGGGTAAGGTCACTTAGGGTCCTACCTACAAGTGAATTAGGCGAGATGTCAAGATGGAAGATGTGCAGCTCTGAAACATTTAAATGGGAAGAATAATAATAACTAATCGGAGGACAAAGAACTACTGAAAACACAATAATAATTATGAATAATATCCAGCCAGGTATGGTGATAACCAGTCATGTCCGCAGAGAAGATAAACTTCAGAAATCTTCTCTGAAGGGCAGTGGAGATGAGCGCTGTTCTCACAACTGCTTCCAGCAACCAAGGAAAATGGATGAGAGATAATTTAGCTGTGAGTTTGCTCAAACACAGTCACAAATACATAGGCTACTGCTAAGCATAACTAACTTGTGTCAAAGAGTGTCTGTGGTTTGACTTTGCCCTCCGGAGGTTCCCATATTACAGGCTAGGTCCCCAGTGAACAAACACTGGGAGGTGGTGGAACCTACCAGAAGTGGGGTGTATACCTCAGAAGGAACAACAGCAGTTCCCACAGGATCCCACCAATTCTTTAAGAAGCAAGTTGTCAGAATGGGAACAAGCCTCTGTCCACTCACCTCTGCCTTCCTGCTCTCCCTATCTCCCTTCCTCCCATCAAGCTGTGGCTTGCCCAGCATGCGACCAGGCCTCACCAGAGCCGTGCACAGGCAAGAGCCACATTCTTCGTTTTCTGAATGCCCTCCACCTTTGTACTTGCTAGGAAGGTATTCTGTTTGAGCCATGTTCCTGGCCCCCTTTGCTTTATAGTGTCTTGAGATTTTTACCCAGATCAGTCTTGGATTTGACCTCCTACTGAGGTTTCCAGCTTAGCTGGGATGATGTATATGCACCAACAAGCACAGCTTTTATAATAGAATTTCACTAACACTGTCCCTGGGCTGGACTTGAACTGCCATTCTCCCTATTTCTCCCCACCTCTCCAAGTAGCCATGTTTACATATGTGAATCACCATAACTGTTACACCATGGTCTTGAACCTCTAAATCTGTGAGCTAAGAAAATTTCTCTTCTTCATAAAATACCCAGGAACAAGTATTTTATTACAGAGTAAATGGCCACAGAATATGGTAACAGAAATATAAAGACTCTTCCTTTCAGTCAGTTAGATTAGGGGTTGGTAGATCAGTCGAGAGAATCAGGTCTACCATTTGGCTGTGTAGTTATTGGTATACAACCATTCGCATGGCCATGGCTGTTTTTCTTGCCATGACAGATCTAAGGAAATGTGACTGGCACCTGACCTGCAGAAGCAGGCTCGACGTTTTTTTATCCAGTGCACTTGATTTCTTCAACAACACAGTGTTTTTACATTATAAAGACTTTGAGATGTACCTGTCCAAGTAAGAGAAAAGTTCAACTTTAGTTATATGGGCACAAACTCTTTTCTGTATGAAAAACTAAACTTTATATAAGACTATTCTATTTGAGTCTTCATGGGTAATATAAAAATGCCTGTTTGTATAGGTTCATATGTAATAACATATATAATGTGTTCATTTCCCAGTATAGTTTAACTTCTTTACTGTTTGGGGGACTTGTGGGTTTGTTCATAAAAACCTAGGTTGTCGCACTCTTCTTTGCAAAGCTGAAGAGACGGTGTCCGAGGGGCTGGTAACTGGTCACTTCTAGAGCACACTGGCCATGTGCACACAGCTGAAGCTGTGGCATTTCTCACCTGGAGGCGTGTAGGCATCCATGGAGGTCTGCACAACCAGGGACCTACGTTTGGAAGGCATAGGTACAGCCATCTTCCTTTCTTTGTGTTTCGCAAGCGCTGCCTGCACGGCTTCCGTATGAACATCTAGAACCACAAAGGAATCCGATTACTCCAGCATCCAGCCAAGACCCCAAAGCACCGGCCTCTCTCCTCCTTGTCCCTAAGGCAGAGCTCACCAAAGCCCACAGAAAAATGGTGGGGAAGCAGAGAAAGAAGTTTGTCCTGCCAGCTTGAAAGCCTGGAAAACCATTAAAATTCATGCATAGACTTTTAATTATTAATTTTATTAATCACAGAATCTGCACAATCAAATCCTGGCTGTAAGTGGCTCTGTGACTTCTCTTTCTATAGGGCAAACAGATATAGATCTTTGAACATCTCTTAAGAGGTCATACATTTAAGCCTTATTAACACAGGTCAATGCGTATGTATCACAGCTCACTAGCAATGGTCAAGTTTACCCTTGGTGATGGCTCAGTAATGACCTAGATTGAATCACCGTCAACTCATTATAACTCATTATAAATCAGTTCCACACTGTCTTACCTGTGTTGGGGATGGAGCCCAGGTACTTGGGCATCCTAGGGAAGCACTCCACTATTGAGCTACAGCCTAGTAGAAACATGTACATGGGAAGGAAGCATGCTGAGGGCTGGGGCTACAGTAATGATAAGTCAGACACACTGTGTTCCATGCATGACATGTATGAACAGAGAAGAGACAGACAACAGACCATCAAACGATGGAGAATGAAAAGATGAGACGGAGATGCGCTGAATTGTGATCAGGGGGAAGAACCCTTCTAATGTGAAATGTGAAGGAACAAATGAATGGCCACTGGCTGCCAGGACGATGATGTCCAGGGCCCAGGGAAAAGCAAATCCCAAAGCCCTGTAGTGTAAGAGAATGGGGTGGGCGAGGTGCGGGGAGACTAGAGGCCAGAGGAAGAGGGAAGAAGGTGTTATGGGCAAGAATGGCTTGGATACCATTGTAAGTAAGGAGGGGTTCATGCAGGGGAAGGACACGGTCCTACTTGTTGCGTGAGATCCTTCTGGAATATGTGAAGAAAACCTTGTTAGAAGATCAGTGAGAAGTCACGGTCTCCGTGGGACTCTGAACAGCTCAGTAGAACTGCTCTGATCATCGTGCCCATTTCATGAACTTGCCAGTGCTGATGGGCAGCGCTGTGCGTATCTCAACTCCACAGGTGTACTCACCCCAGGGCCCTTGCCACCCCACGCCCTCACCCTTTGAGACAAGCAACACCTTTATGAACTCGCCACAAATGTCACTCCAGTCCTGTAACAAGGACTCAGTTTCCACTTCAGAACAGGGTTCAGCCAACACAGGGCACGGGCAGAGCCCACGGCTGCTTCAGAGCCAAGCATTTGTGAGAGACCACAATTACCAGAAAGCTTCAAATATCTACCATCTGGCCCTTTACAGGAAACAGTTGGAGACCCACTTGAAGGCAATATTAAACACCATGGACAATTAACTTACGACATTGTTTTATCTCGTTTAGCTTTCGTGTGCTTTTTCTCCTCAACTAGACTTGGAGCAATTTAAGACAAATAGCCAGTTTTCTCCTCTCTTACTGAAGTCCTTGGATCAAAATCTAATAGTTCACTGACATGGATTCATGGCCTCAAACTGAAGGGCTAATCAAGTCAATGAGAAAATACATTAATTTTCCATAAGCCAAACACTTTCAGCTCTGTATACCCTTCTTTTAAAAATTTTTGGATAAAATTTCAAATTCGCAAAAAACCTGTAGGAGGACAGAGAATCTGAACTTGAAACCGATGCAAGTTTATCAGTGGGTCACATTTTACCCTGGTGCTGCTTTCTCCCCCCTTCTTCCCTCCTCTCTCCATTTCTTCTTTTCTGAACCAGATGAAAATAAATTGTAGAGAGCATACTGAAACATTTCAATATGTTTCCTGGAAACAAGGTTATTTTCTTACAATAAAAATTATCTTCAAAATTTGGAAATTTAACAATGGTCTACTAGTGCCCAGTACAAAGAATGCACTTCAACAGTGACCATTATCCTAGGAACATCTATTATCATTATTTTATTTTCCTAATCTAAGGTCAGACCCAAGGGTAATGAATTGCATTTACTTCTCAGATTATCTTTGCTCTTCTTGAATCTGGAATATCTTAGGTTTATCTTCTAGAAACTATTAGGAAATGTTAATAAATACAGGCCAGTCACTTGGTAGCTCATCCTTCAATCTGGGGATTCTGTTGCTTCTGTGTAATTAAAGTTCAGATTATACATGTCTCTGTCCTCTGTGAGTCATGGTAAGTTTGATCTCTTGGGAAAAGTGTGTCTATCAAACTCTTCCAGAAAAAAGATGCTGCTTTCTCATTGCAATTAAGAAGTAACTTGGGAGGAAACATTGGATACTTCACTATAGAGTCAATAACTTCTCTACTTCCTTGTACAAAGGTAAGACGTGACTGAAGCAATTCAAAAATACTACAACTTAAAAGAAATATTCACATTTTTCTCTGCTGAGAAAATTTGATTTAGGTGCTGCTCTTGTCAAGAAGCTTGTGAATTTATGTTTTATATATATATATATATATATATATATATATATGTAAAATAAATCACAGTGTTTTTTTACTCATAAATTCTTTCTAAAAGATCCCTCAGAAGTAAACATTTACAGAGCTAAGGGTTTATGTGGTCTACCTCCAGGCTAAGGGAGAAGAAAGCCAAACTGTTTTTGTGAAATACAAGAGTTTTATAACTAGAACATTTGAGAACACTCCATCACTGTGAGATTGTATTTTCTCAAGGTGGGAGTGAAACGGACCTTGGGACAGTTAAGGGGACCTGGAAAGGGGCTGGCATGACATTGAATGGATATTCTGATCAAGTAAAACACTGGAGGTTATTTAGTTGATCCATGTTCTAGAAACTTGAAATCCTCCACATTGTATTTAGAGTACATCTAACTTCTGGTCCAGTCTTCAGTCAGATAAAAATCCTAGTTTTTCCACAAAAATTCATCATTTCAATACAAAGAAAGCCATTTAAACCACTGTGTATTTTCACATAAAAGTAAAAGGTATTTTAAAAATTGTTAGCTACATGTCTGTCTACTATTCTGAAACTGAGAGGAAACAGTCAATGACTATTTGAAGCCATGAAGAGACAAGGGAGGTGCTAGGGGCTGCCCGTCAGAATGAAAAGAAACGCAGCGAGCCTGCCCTGTGGGACCCGGGACGGGAAACAGGAGAATCACGAGAATCAAAGATGACTGCGGTCGTTATGATGATGTCAGATCACTGACCGCATAGCGAGATTATGTAAGACATTAGCTAATGAAGTAACTCAACTTAAATGACTTTAAAGCAATATAAACATAAAACAATGGCAAATCAATGTTTGGAAATAGGTACAAATAGCCCCCTGAAGAGTCTATATCAGAATCAGACTTGAAAATAACAACAGAATACCCCATCTCTCAATTCTTCTCTAGGTTCTGATCCTTAAGACAGTACACTAGTTCAACTAAAAACAACAACAACAAAAGGCAAAGATTAACTTCTCTAGACCTAGAAATGATGAGTAAGAATGCCAGAGTCAGTATTTATACCTCCTTAGGTGAAGCTGAGGCAGTGTTAAGTAATCCCAGTCTAACCTTAAATACTCAAGCCAAACAGGAATGTTAGGACTTCCATATCTTCAAATAGTGGTTATATGAGATGACCAGTCTCTGGGTAAAGATGGTTTGGAATACAACAATCAGCAAGGGAGTAGAGAGCCATCCCATGTCACAGAGTGGCTCTCCCATCTCCTCCACCTTTTCCTCTCTTCCGTTCTCCTCAGCTAAGTTAGATGTGCATCTAACTTCCAAGTAGGAAGGAAACAACAACACCACTGCTGATCAAGTATTTGAGACAATGAGCTCAGAAGGTAGCAAGTCCTATGACAAGAAGAAAGTAAATATTGTATGGGGTGGGGAGGAGAAGGATCAGATCTGACCACAGGACAGAGGGGAACAAGGCAATGTCTACTTCTTGTAAGTACCAACACCAGAAGGTCTCTAGCTAAGAGAAGCTCCTGGCCAGTCTAAGTGCAGAGAGGCACAGAGAGGCACTAACGGATAAACATGGAAGGCCAGGAAAAGGAAAGGTAGCCAAAAATATAAAGAAACAATGTTTAGCTCAAAACTCTGATCAATCCCATAAGAGCTCATGAGATTAAAACTTTAAAGAAAATACGGTACATGGTAAAGAGGTTGCTGCAAAAAAATCTTCCCTTTATTTCCATAAAAGAGTCTGTGAAACTGAGCAGCTGTGATGCATCAGAAACCCATTAACGCACTTGATTAAGTGTCCTACAAAATCTTAATTACAAATATTCTCGATACAGTTTTTATCTACCCCCATGAATTGGGAGCTAGAGGAGAGGCTCTGACAGGGAGATAATGAGAAATAGAAACCTCCAGTTTGTATGGAGGTACTGAGCAGTATAATGGGGGGGGGGGCACTGACACACATGCAAATGTCACCATCTCTTTTTTTTTTTTTTTTTTTTATTTTATTTTTTTATTGTAAAGCTACTATACAGAGGGTCACAGTTACATGAGTGAGGTTATGAGTACACTTCCTCTTGAACATTGTTACCCCCTCCATTGTTTTCCCCCTACCATCCCCTCCCTCCCTCCCTTCCCCGAGGTTCTTTTTTTTTTTTTTTTTTTTTTTGATTGTGATTAAATGATTACATAATTTCAAAGTCACAAGTTCATTCTAACTTCCCTGGAGCAAATTGTCTACCACAGTCTGTAATATATAACAGTGTTCACATGTTATATACCATATTTGTGATCAGCAGCATGAGGATATTTAGTAGTGGTTCAACCAGATGAGCGGGAGTTCTTTGTTTCTTAAGTCCTGTTAGTTTTGTCGTATCACTAACCTTTTGGATTTAGCATCCACTTATGAGGGAGACCATGTACCGTTTGTCTCTTCGTTCTTGGCTTACCTCGCTCAACATGATTCCTTCTAGCTCCATCCATTTCCCTGCAAATGCCATTATTTTGTCATTTCTAATGGCTGCA